GGCCTAGAAAAACCTTCTGAGGTTCCACACCGGACATATGCTTTGTCGTCTATTGCTCGCCTTATCACAAGTCCCTTCTTGTCAGCTCCATCATGTGTTCCAAATGCAAATCGCGTGTAATTTTTTATGTGGGCTCGATTATAATGTACATTGACATGCCTTTCACGATGTTTCTTTTGTGTACGAAGATGGGCCCAAAGATTGCAGCCTCTGTGTTGCTGCGCTTGACGGTAGCGCTTGTTCCTGCATTTACCCCATGATCGTACTGTTGCTTTGCTCTTTACTGGCTTCTTTCCATGCTTTACTAGGTACTGATTTGCAATCTGACGCATCTCTTTAGACTGGATCCTCTTTTCATAATCAAGATAGCCTGTGTCCTCCTCACCCCATCTCCTTCTGTGGGCCTTCAACTGTTCATGAAGTAATTCACTTATTGCTTGCTCTGCACCACGATCGATACTGTACACTCCCTTGCCCTTGCCCTTTTGTGACATCAAAGTACCTTTCCATGTGGAAAAGATCCTCTTTGAAATTCTTTTCTTGACTTTCACTGGTTTTTCGTAAAGACTTTCTAGCCTTGCCCTCTTTACTCCTATATCAAACTCTCTACTTTCAATTTCCGCCTCATCTAACCTTGCTCTCTTCCGTTTCAGTAAACTCTCGCTGTTCTCCAAGTCTTTTTCTATTTTAGTGATAACTTTGTCAAGATGTCTCTCTGCTTCGATTTCCCCGTTTCTCTCTTGAGCTTCTACATTACTTGAAAAACGGGTAACCTCGTCCACGATATTTTTCAGTCGTTGTTGCTGCATCCCAAGCACCAAAGACAGTGTTGTTGGTGAGAAAATGTTTGCAAGGACGTATGTTAAAATCGCCCAATCTCTCGCATTTCACATCAGTTTCATTAGAGTTGGAATGGACGCGGCTAATGCATTTGGAAAACTGTTACAAGATGAGTCCTCTCTTGCAGCGTCAAGGACACGATCTAGACTGCAGCACAGTTTAATATTGTTTAAGGGCATCTCTAAAAGCATGACGAACATTTGCCCAGCATTACTCACAATGATAACTGGTAGACCATGTTTCGATAGAATTCTATCTTTGAACTGTTGGCGAGCTTTTACCTTATCAATTGTTTCCGTGATGGCAGCAAATTCTTCAAATGCTTCCTGGAAACGCATGCAAGACCTGGCTATCAGTTCATCCAACAGGCGCGAAAGTGCAAGGATATTCTGCGCATCTCTTGCAGATTTAGTAGTGGTTGCTATTGATTCCTCTAATGTTAAATGTCTTTGCTCTGCACTCGTATTACAAAGAGACACAGAAACATGCTTTAAACCCACAGCCTTTTTGAATTCTTGGTGCTTTCTTTTAGCCACACGAAGTTGGCAGCCATCTTGAAATACCGACTTATTGGTCAGCGGATGTCGTCCTTTAATAGTCCCCAGGCCCAGTGCGCCAGTGTTTTCTCCAAAACAAAATGGCGGAGAATACCTCCAGTCCGGGCAAAGAGGGAAAAAGCTATTTTCTTGAGTGGTTGAAGAGTTGTTCTTTGGAAAAATATTACCAAGCCTTTACAACGATGGGTATTAGTGAGATAGGCCACCTTGAAGATATTCAGGAGGAAGATGCCTTGGCACTACGATTGTCACACATCGAATTTAGGCGACTGACTCGCATGTATGGAGAATACAAACAACAGCAGGCGCGAAAGTCATCCCTACAAGAGAAAGTTTCACCAACAGCCTTCAGACCATCAAGCAGTTCAACTGTTGTAGCTTTGCCAAAGGGGATGAAAGGCTTTTTCAAACAAGAGATGGCCTTGGAAACGTACTCGTAAGTACTAATTCTTTGAAACGTCAGTTTAAAAATCTGTACTATGAAAAGCCTCTAAATCCGGCCCAGATGTTTTCAAATTCGTTTGTACTGACAATGGCTGCAGAACGCTTGAAATACTCAAATACAATGAGGGAATGTGAACTCTGGTGCAGGAAAGAGCGTGCAAAACGCAATGATCTTTTGATTGCCTTTGCCAAGAGCCCAGTTATTGATCAGTGGACACCATATTACAAGAAACAAAGTGTTTATGGCTTGCTACAAATAAATGAATTGAAATACCCGCAAATTGTTGCACTAAAGAGCAGTTCATCAGCACCACGACATTCGCACTATGAACATCTTTGCAAGTTTGTTGAAGGTTGCGAGGATGCCCTTGGAATGGCAAAAGCGAAAATGATGAAGTGTAAACAAGAAATGGATGCTACCTTAAAGGATGGCTCAACTGGAAAGCAGATTAGGGAAGGTTAGAATTTAATATTAAAAATACTGCACCCACATGTTACACTTTTGATATACAGTGGAACCTCGGTATAACAAATCCCCAAAAAAGTGTGGGTGAAGAAGTCCCTGATATGAAGAACAACGTTCTTCAGCCTGGCCAAATATTTTAGTTGCAAAAAAATTTATGAAACAGAACCACAGTTGAAAAACACATTTTCCTGGTCCTTTGGGCGGCACTTCGTTTATACATTGTTTTGGTTCCGCTGCAGATATATTGTAATCATGCATTAAGAAACCTCCATTTCTTTCATCTCTTATTTGTTGAATGACTCATCGCATTTGTGGGAAAATAATATTTGTATGAAAGCTGGAAAAGGGGAAACAGAAGTAGCTCCCCCATCCCCATTCAAAAGTCATTGCATGTGACCATGAAGCCTTTCGTATGTATAACGCCAACAAAGTGCCCAAGTCTCAAATAGGGTACAGATTTTTTAATGGAGGTCAAGTTTGAATATGATTTTGGGATATCAAATATTTTGGTCCATGAGATAGGGTCAGCTTTGAGAATGTTCTGAGGGGTACCCCCAGGACTAGAGCACAATAGTCATAATAAAGAAAAAAATATTAGTCCCTATATTTTAAATTTTATTACAGGCTTGAAAGAGACAAATCAGTTCTACCAAGAACTGATACCACGGGCAGAGAAAGTGGTTGAAGAAGTTACCAAGATTTGCACAGAATACCAAGATATTGTAGAGAAGTATCGCTCAAGCTTTGGGAGTAGTGTGGGCCAGCAAGTATTGCGAAGAAAGAGGAAGAAGAATGCTCTAAAGGAAAATAAAGAAAAACAAAAGAAGAAATTTCAAGCAGGCGAGGACTGGAACACAGAGAAAGAACCTGAGGGAAGACAAGAAACAGAGAAACAGAAAGAAGGAAAGCAAGCATCTCAGTCCTTATCATGCAAGGACTGGAACACAGAGAAAGAACCTGAGGGAAGACAAGAGACAGAAAAACAGAAAGAAAAGGAAGAAGAAGAAGAAGAAGAAGAAGAAGAAGAAGAAGAAGAAGAAGAAGAAGAAGAAGAAGAAGAAGAAGAAAAAGAAGAAGTAAAACTGCAGCCAGCATGTCAGTCTTCATCAGGCGAGGACTGGGATACAGAGGAAGAACTTGAAGAACATTTCCTCTAAATCCTACCATATGTCTGTGGCCCATATGTTTAGGTTCAAGTTTTTATTAGAATGCACCATTTCTATTTATGGTTTTGCAAAGCATTCAAAATATTTTGTGTTAGTTTGGGTAAATAATATTCTTAATACTTTTAAATGCAGCGGGATCTGCAGTGTGATTGGTGTTTTTGGGACATCTACTTTTGTTTATAGCTGTAAACTTTATGGATTCAAGTAGCAACGCATATTGTACAACACCAACTCCATAAACTTGCGTGCAAGTGGAACTATTGACGTTGTTAACACAATCTCACTTTAATCCCATTAAAACAAAAGTATTTCAATAAAAAGTTTATTTAATTTATAAAGTTAAACAATTATCACCACAGTCTCTTAATTTAATACTATGGCAGCTATAGAGATCAAGGGCATCAGAGTTGGTTCAAATTGAAATCTCTATTTAGCCAGTAGAAATTGTTTTTTCTGCCTGAAATGTAGTTTGACATGAATTTAGGAAGTTGGGGGAAGGGGATTTCCTGTTACAGATCACAGATTTATTTTTCAGACTGTGTAATATATTGTCGCAGTCACATTGGTTATCCAAGCAGGATATTTTTTTCTGGTTTCGTTGCAATGCAGGATTTTTTTTTCTTAAAATTTTGTTTTGCAGGATTTTTTTTTTGTTTTTGGACTCCCCCCCCCTTCACATTTCTAATGGTGCATCCCTAATGCGGAATAGACTGAGTGGAGTATATGTCAGGCTGTTTGTAATTATAAGTTGTCCTAACATTATGCACTCAGCCGATTTGTAGTTACTTGCATCGCCTTTTATATATATATAGTTTAGTTATTGGGCCATTCCTTTTAATATCTTCACCCCCCCCACCCTCCCTATTGAGGGGTTTTGGTCTCTACTCCCTCGGAAATAACAGTTGAGGACCCCCTCTGATTTTAAAGATCAAAGTGCTGACACATACCCCCCTTCAGAAAAAAAAAACAAAAGATCAAAGTTACCAACATGGCTACTCCTTCAGAAATTACTGGTAAAGGCCCCCTCCCTCCCCCTAGGATTTCCTTGACCCTCAATAATAGGGGTGCTGATATAAAATGGAATGGCCCATTGCAGTTAATTCTTATATAATTTGTAGGTAATGACATCTACAGTATATGCCAATAAATTGTTGTTGTTGTTAATTGTCCTCCACTACTCGCAGTTGCCAATGAATCCTATCAAAATGCCATAGACATACTTTATCAGTATTAGCAACAATGTTTGAATGCGGAGCGGTTTGATATTGAGTCCCAACATGTTTGATTCCTTATGTTAGGACCAATTGTAAACAAAACCACACAACAGGAGGGTGATCAAACTGGATTTTATATTCTAACACTATCTTAAAGTTCCTTACTGCTGCTAATGTAATATAATTTAATATAATATGATATGATATAATATATTATATTGTATGGTATGATATAAACTATGTAATGTAATATAATATATAATCTCAAGTCAGCAGTGTTTTTGAGTCCAACTGTGTACAGATTTAACATTAATTACAAAAGCTGTGGAGCAATCCTTCCGTCCTTTACACTTTGCTCAATAAATTTCATGATTGGGTCTCCACAGACACAGCACTTAGCATCCTCAGGACATGCCTTTAACAGACCACAATAGCAATAAGATTGATCATTGAATACCCTCTCTGGGATGTAGGCTACATTTTTGCATGCAGCTTCTGGCTGCTGAAAACCTTGCTGAGGTAGCCAAATCAGCATCACATATTCATGTCTAAATATTTCAACCCATCTGTTTTGATATGTTGTATTTTCACCTAATTTTTTAAGAAAAATATGCTTCACTTCTCGTCCTTCCATGGTTACCAACCCCAACCCCTGGCCATACTTTTCAAGCACTTGACGACAATGAGCCGGGACAATGTGACCCAATGTCCAGACAGTAGGATTTACAGAACTTGGCAACAACAATGAATTTACTTTAAAATACTCATGACAGGCAATAGAAAGCTGATCAATGTGGTCTGATGTTATCTCAAATCTACTAAAGAGAGAAACACAGTCCCTTAGCCTCACACCTAAATAAGCTAAAGCAAGAACTGTTTGACGTTCTTTCCTGGAGTCTTTTTCACACCTTAGCCACTTGATTAGTCTCATGAACTTATGACAAAAACAGCGGGAATCTTTTCCGGTAAATCTATAATGCAAATCAGCTCCAGACCCTTGAGTTTCATTAAACCATTGTTTGGTCTTGTTTGCAAGGCGCCTGGCTTTTACTTCTGTTTGTAAAGCTGTAATTACTCGTGCAAAAGGGCTATCAGCTGGAACCTCTGAAAACTTTTTACAATCAGCTGGCAGCTTAGATTTTCTTATAGCTTCTGTCAAAACTGCTTTAAAGAAGTACTGCCAAGCATTGTTCTTTAGATGAAGGGGTTCCACATGAGCTTTGTCAATGTAAGAACCTAAGAGAGGCAAAAATTCCTGTCTACTACTTTGCTTGGCAATGTAATCAGTAATTTTAGATCTCTTTGTCTTTTCCGAAATTTTTTCTAGTGCTACTCTTTTCTTAAATGCTTCAACCTTGTTGACAACATTTACTCTTTGCTTGTAACTCCATGGCTTCCACTTGTTTGAACTTTCAGTTCCAAATGTACCCTTGACATCCTACAATCAGCTAATGAAACATTAGCAAAGGGTGAGAAATACTTAGCACTAATAGTTAATTCACCTGCCAACATGGCAAGCATCTTCATGTCATTTGGCAATTCCTCCAGCTTAAACCTATATTTCATGCCTTCAAATTCATATTCAGCTCTTTCTAACTCTGCAATTTGAGGTAATAATGACCTCACATATTTCTTTGTAACAGGAGAGCTTTCATCACAGTTGGCACCAAAAATTAGAAAGTTATCATAACTTGATGCCACCCTTCTTCCAACATTGGGGAAACTGACTAAGAAAGAACACGCGCTCTCATTTTTGCCAAATGGGCATCCGTCGCCACCAAGAGCAATTTGAAAAGTGCCTGTTGATTCTGCAAAGCCTTTAAAGATAAAATTTGGCAAGTATTGGGAGGTATTGTCTCAAGTCTCTATATGCACCATTGACTTGGTTTTCAGTTTCTAAGCCCTCTAGATAGTCTGGGTCAATTTCATGAACAGTCCCAATGTCAATCTTTTTTAACTGTTCTACAAGGTTACTATAAGTTAAAAGCTTTGGAACCTTACAGCCTTTACAAATTGAAATACTTGTTCTTTTCCCTGGTTTGCCTTCATTTGATTTCATTGAAAGCACCAGTCTTACACTTTTGTACCTTCGTTTCCCCATTACACCACTTGCATAATATGTTGCAATACTTCGAACAATGTTGTCATCTGACTTTTCAAATTCTAACACACTCTTCTTATACTCTTTACAAACTATTCTATTGGTCAACTGCTTGTTCTCTGTCACATATTTTGTTAACTTATCTAACGTGCATCTCTTTTGCAGAGTGTCAAACATTCCCTCGGAACAGGCTGAGGAATGTTCATTTGAGCTCCCATGAATTTTGGCAGCAGCTTCAATGGTTTCATGCCTCCTTTTTCTTGCGGTCCTTGGTCCCAGTGTTGATTCTCCATTGACAAGTGCAGTAGGGCTTCTTGTTCGTGCCTGAGATACCTGTCCCTGTGACTAAAATATTGCTAAATTAGACACTGGGTAGTAACACAATTATTTAAATTAGATGTGGTTGGATGATAACAAAATAGATATTTAGCCAAATCTTACATTCAATATGTTGATGTTAACAATTTAGAGACACTGTCATTTATGACAGTCTTTACTGACCAAATGAACACAGGCACTCGCTCAGGTTTCTTGCATAGGTACCGGCATAGAAGCCTGACCATGGCTGTCATTCTGGCACTGGCTTTGTGTTAAGTGGCCAGTTCACCGAAATTAAACTTGCAAAATATTTTTTATTTTTATTTTTACAAAATTGAATAGTACTATATCCTCACTGTCTACCACTTAACACATCGCGAAACTAAGTTATGGGAGAGAGATCCGCGGATTGTTGTGGAAAGAGGTAGACAGCAAGAATAGATCACGATATGTGAGGAGTTGTCAACCAACACCAGGGGAGGAGGGTGGGGCGAACCTTGATAAGTCGTCTCGGCGTTCGGCGCTGTGACACAGTGAAATCAAAGCCACGTGGTGTATTCTATTTATCAGGGGAGCCCGCAGTGCATTGATGCGTCCCAAAGGACGGCGGAGTATTTTACTGGTCGTTTGGCGATGCGTTAATTCATTATTCAGGGAGAATAGTACTATATCCTCACTGTCTACCACTTGACACATCGCGAAACTAAGTTATGGGAGAGAGATCCGCTCCTTGCCATTCCCTGAGGCAGCCTGCTATAACCTAGGTCTCCGACCCTCCCCCCAAAACACATCGACCTTATAATTTCAATACCCAACACTCAACACCCAATACTCCATAACTCAATAAAGATTTATTAACTGACAACAAACTAATAACCACCGGAGAGTACTGGGATGAATGTCCCTTAGTCATGAAAGATGTATTAATTCAACTATACGAAATTCTCTGCAAATTTCCTTGGTGGGAAAGTTGCAGGGCAGGCGGAGAGCTCGTGAGAAGTAAGATTGAGCGTAACCCGTTCTAACAACTGCAACGGGCAGAAGCACTGGGGCGGTGCGTGTAATACAAAGCCATTTCTGTGCTCCGCCAACCCACGTACTGAGCAATCTGCTCCGAGTACATCCCAAACCCTTGAGGGTGTATGAAATTCCTACACGAAAGCTGTGAGGGTCTCTCCGTCATTAATGTTGGCAGCCTTAAGATACTTTTGGAGCCGTGCAGATACGGCTGACCCTCCGAACGGACGATGTGACACAAACTTTTTATGCTCCGAAGACCTAAAGAGGTACTCACCATGAAGAGGGACACCTAATGCCCCACACGCGGCAATATAATAGTTCAACCAAAAAACCGGGCAGACAGGTACATTTGGAATACGTAACAGAGCAAAAGGGCGAAACTGACCTGCACGCCTCGTTTTACTAAACGTAAAGTTGAGAAGGAACCCCTCCCTATCCTTAAGGCGAAAAAGCTGATCTGCCTTCAAACGGCCCAAATCGGATGCTCTATCACCAGTGTAAAAGTCAATAACAAAGAATGTTATATCCCTGACCAGGAGGTATCTATTAAGAGGAGAAAGCGCAGAGCCTTCGGCAATAAGCCCGCGAAGATAGGCAATTAAACGGGTGAATTTGTCATAGCACAAAGGGACAGCCTGACGAGGGGGCAAAGGTTGCTGGGCTTGCTCCTCTCTTACAAACTTAAGATATTCCTTAACACAAGAATGTGCCAACGGGTTAGAAAACCCTGTACGGCCTAACCTATTGAAAATGGCTCTAAGTTTCCCTATATATGAATCGACAGTTCCGGCCGCTAGACACTTAGGGCAACTACAGGTCTTACTAGAGCAAGAGCGCACATGGAGTTTCTGTTTTCCCGCAGCATCCTTGCTAATCAAAAACTTTACGATGTCTTCCGCAGTTGCAGCAGAAACTTTCTTCGGGGGTACAAGAGAGCACAAGAAACTCGACAGCTGAACTTCTAAAGAGTCCTTTTGCCGTTCATAAGGTTTGCTCCTATACGATTCTTGGAACTCTGTAAAGCGCTTGTTGATCAAAGGCATGTCCGCATGTGGACGGGTCCCTTGCGGTGGCTCACGCGACAGGGGTTTACCGCAGGCCTGGCAAAAGTTCGCGTCACTGTCGTTTGGATAAGAGCAGGCGGGACATTGGCAGGCAGGCTTCCATGGGCGTTCGATCTATAGAGACAAGCATAAATACCTAGCTTAGCAGGAGCAGACACAACGAAAACCCACAGATCCCAAGGCAAGGGCCTAGCAATGAAATCGGGAGGTGCGGAAGGGAAAAGCAACACGGCCGGGTCACCTTTCCGCCCAAGAAGAAAAGAATCTACTGCCATTGCTTGGAGTATTGCCCACCAATAGCGATGCGGGCGGAAACGAGGGACAACGATGGTAAAAGCGAAACGCTGGCGTTGAACAAAAAAGTACCGCAGCAACGGTCCCACGAGAACGAAAGGGGGAAAGACATAGACGTTATGTTCGATTGGTATCGGTTGTGCGAAAACATTAACGCCCAGAGAATACGGAGTCGGTCAAGGCGAGTAATGAGGCAAAAAGCTCCCATCCCTTCCTCTGCGACAGTTGCTGTCCAAAGACATCGAGTCAAATGTGTGTGGTCCAAACCGCGCTTGAACTCGGGCCCACGCCTCCTCGGACAAGGAACAATCAATGTCAGTCAGAGCACGGGAGGGCGCGTCAGCAATGTTTTCACTCGATGGGACATATTTCAAATGCAAAACAAAGTTTCCTGCTCGAGACATTTCTTCTATTTTTTTCAACTCCTGATTCACCAGAGAACTCCTACAACCGCCATTTTCCCAGGCTGCTCGGAGAGTCGCGTTGTCTGTCCACACATCGATTCTTGCGTTTCTGATAGAAGGAAAAAAGAGCTCAAAGCGTTACATAAAGCCCTGGCCTCAAGGGTATTGATATCACCTTCAAGGTCGATCCAATAATCTCGTATTTGCTGGCGCGAGGCCATCTTTAACCAAGACTGCTCCCCAGGCCCTCTGGGAGGCATCACTGAACATTGTGACAGAGAGATGATGTTCCGACCGCCAAGGTAAGTGACCAGACCAATTGTCCAAGAAAATCCATTCCTGAAGTTCCTGTCGCAAAAGGTCCCAGGATTGGAACAGAGAGCTTCAATTCTTGGCAACAGCGCTGATAGCCTTGAATACCTCCCACACATACAGCTTACAAGCCGGGATTGCGAGACTAAACGATAGCGCCTTTTCCCGCGAAAACGCTGCAAGCTCTTTTTACGGGTGCAAAAAGATGATTCCAGGAGTTCGTCATAACGCTTTAAATTTCTCCTTTTTATCCAGTGGGACTAAAAAAGCTTGCAAGACAGAATCGGAGATGAAACCCAGGAATTTAACAAAAGTGGATGGCTGTGGAGAGCTCTTTGCAAGGTTAACAAAATACCCGCTGAGATCAAAAGGAATAACAAAAAAAAGGCTGCTGCTCGTAAGGAAGTTGGCGACTAGGCTGGCAAACCAGTGGACGGATAGGAATAACTGGCCCACATGTCTGTCATCAATATACTGCGAAACAGGTACGCCCAAAGACCGCGCGGCACTGGTGACGACAAGGCCAACGTTATGATATAAAAAGGCACTTGCTTTCCACCCGAAAGGTAAGGTGCAGAAAGAAAAATAATAGCCCTCCAGGAAAAACTGAAGAATTCCTGGGAGTCCGGGTGAATCTTGAGGTGTTGGTATCCATTCTTATCATCAAATGTTGTCTGGAAATGCCCTGGGAGGACATAACGAGGCAGGTCTGGGAGGTGGTCTAACTTGAAAGGGAGATCTTGAATCCATAAATTAAGAAAGCGCTCGTCGTGACATAAACGCGGCTTAGATGGTTCGACTGTCAAGGGGAGGACTAAATGAGGAGGGGAGCATTCGCCAATCTTGCCGTAGACTTTGATAACACCCTGAGAGACCCAGGCTAAGACTGTAGTGTCAATGAAATCGGTAAATTGATGGCAACAAGGAGAGTTCGGGAAAATAGAAATCGGCGGTACAGCGGAATCATAACTTTCCCTTTGAAGTTGCCCTTGAAATGACAGAAGAAACTATCGACCCTCACTCCCTCTCGGATTATCTGTGGCAAATCAACTTGAGGACAAGTGTAACCGGCTGAAGAAAAGAGATCCTCCCAGAAGTCAACATGATTATGTAAGCTGCCCGCTTGTAAATAATCTGGGTGTCTAAAACGCAATTGGGCCAGGTCTGCAAGGGATGGATCTTTACTAACAAGCTCCGCCGGTACGGTGGGGCCAACGAAGGATAAGGGTTCCCCGTTTATGTCACACCATTTGACGTCACGGCTCGAGCGCAAGGATTGCCCGTAGTGCAACCGCGAAATCCTGGGAAAACGGAGAACGAAAATACAAAAATAAGAAGAGGAAGAAAAGAAGGTGGGATCTATCCTTCGCTGACCCCAGCTCTGATCATAGACCAGAATAAAGGCGCTGAGAAGGCCCCCAGGGTCAACGAAGAAATGAGGCGAAAAACCAGAAAAAAAAAAAAAAAAAAAAAAAAAAAACTAGGACGCTAATAACTAGGGGAAAAAATCTTTATTCCAGCCAATAAACAAGGATAATATAGGAAAAACATATCCCATACCCTTACAATATTTACATGATGCTAACGCCTAAATTTCAGCGGCGGCGTCCGTGCCACGATCTCTGGCGAAATGCCCTGGTAGACCACATCTGTAACAATTAACCGAACTGTAGACACAAGGGCGTTGGCGCCTAAACTGGCGAGTACTATTACGACCTTGAAACCCAGGCTCTTCACGCTGGATAGTCTTGAGAAGCGCAGAGGACTCCTTTGCAACCTTGGCTCTAACCGGATCGCCTAAGAGGCCCATGAGCAGCCGTTTATGGGCAGAGGGGAGAGGGCATTAGATCTTCCTTTTAATTCATCCAAAATGGCCGTAATAGTAGTCTGCCTTTTCGTGGGCGGACGACCTGGCTGCCCGTACCAGGGCCTCGGACGTGAGCAGAAGCCTCCCAAGGGTCATAAACAGCTTCCGGCTTCTGAAGAGCGTTGCGAACAGAAGTAAGAGCAGTGGTGACCACGTCAACGCCCTGCTTCTCCTCCAAAGCTTTCAATTTGTCTTCAAGAAGCTTAATTCGATCGTCCGCCTAAGAGTGACGCAAAATATGAAGTATATATTAACGTCTGTAAAACATTTATATGTTATTAATTTCGGTCCCAAGGCAGAACCGAAAGATCCCGAAACGAGGATATGCCAGATCCAAAATGGACGGTTAGGCCGTATAACAAAAATCATTGGCAAATAAAACCGGCTGCCAGAGCAAAACGGTCCCGGACCGCATATATGACCAATACAGGCGCCCGGAGCCGAGCGGACCTAGCCCGCAAACACAATAAACATGTCACCCCAAACAAAACGGCTCCCGGAGCCGGGCGGTCCCGGACCGCATACACAATAATATCTCACTCCAAACAAAAGAAAAAGAACCGGCTCCCTGAGCCGACCAACAAAAATTCTTTCTAAATAAAAACAGGCTCCCAGAGCCAAACGTTCCCGGACTGCATACACTAAATCGTGGTTTTAAACAAAACCCGGCTCCCGAGCCGAACGGTCCCGGACCGTATATAAAACAATTCGTTCGAACGAAAGCCGGCTCCAGAGCCGGCGGTCCCGGACCGCATACACTAAATACTTGGTTTTGAACAAAACCCGGCTCCGGGAGCTAAACGGTCCCGGACCGCATACACCAAATACTTGGTTTAAACAAAAACCCGGCTCCGGAGCCGAACGGTCCCGGACCGTATATAAAGCAATTCGTTCCGAAACGAAAGCCGGCCCCAGAGCCGAGCGGTCCCGGACAGCAAACGCAATAACTCGTGTCTTGGACAAAACCGAACATACAAAACAAAAATATTTCGTCCCAAACAAAAAATCGGCTCCCGGAGCCAAATGAGACACAAACAAGCCGAAACAAAAGGACCGAGTAAAATGAAATACATATACGAACAACGCTAACAAAAGCGAAGAGAAAAACAAAAATATGCCCTAGAGACACGTGGAACGTTAAATATGCTAAACAAAGTACTAGAAACGTTGGAGAAAAAACACGAAATGCGCACAAACGGGCAGCTAAAGCTAAAAGCGAACGAAAAGCACCAGAACTAGAAATTACCTGATTAGCAGCCGCGGGTTGCGCCGCCGGTTCTGCGAGAGCTTCTGCGAGAGGTCCTGCAGGAGGTTCTGCGGGATGTTCTGGGTTAGCAGGCGGTTCTGCCGCCACCGGAGGTAAAGGCGGTAATTCTCCCGCTGGTTCCGCCATGTAGTCGAAGAAAAGACGGTTTGACGCTAGCGGAAAGTACAAGGAAACGAAGGCGGGCTGGTGTTGGTTGACAAACCGATACAAGCGAACCTCGATAAGTCGTCTCGGCGGTCGGCGCTGTGACACAGTGAAATCAAAGCCACGTGGTGTATTCTATTTATCAGGGGAGCCCGCAGTGTATTGATGCGTCCCAAAAGACGGCGGAGTATTTTACTGGTCGTTTGGCGATGCGTTAATTCATTATTCAGTGAGAATATTTTTCTGTTCATATTGTTAATAAAATTTGGCATAAAATTAAACATCATCCAACCACTAATCAGTGCAAACCTACAGACTTAGTTGGAGGTTGTGCTCAGCAGTTTTTGCTGCATACTTACTGCTAAAACAACCATAATAAAGAATTAAGAGTGTGGTAATAATTTAGAGACACTGCCATTTATGACAGTCTTTACTAACCAAATGAACACAGGCACTCGCTCAGGTTTCTTGCATAGGTACCGGCATAGAAGCCTGACCATGGCTGTCATTCTGGCACTGGCTCTGTGTTAAGTGGTTGGTTCACCGAAATTGAACTTGCAAAATATTTTTTTTTATTTTTACAAAATTGAATATTTTTCTGTTCACATTATTAATAAAATTTGGCATAAAATTAAACCTCATCCAACCACTAATCAATGCAAACCTAGAGACTTAGCTGGGGGTTGCGCCCAGCAGTTTTTTGCTGCATACTTACTGGTACTGGTAAAACAACCACAATAAAGAATCAAGAGTATACTCACAGGAATATTTTCTAATTCATTTGTTATGTCTTTGAAGTGTTCCCTGACTGTGGCCAACTGAAAGCAATTATTATACAAGTGATTTCATAAGCACTGATTGGTTAATTTTAAGTGTCATTTAGAGTTTAAACACATAAAAAGCTTGTGGGGGGATATTAACAAGTGTTTGTGCTGAGAAGTACAGCGGGGTTTAAACAAACCATGATTACCCAGTTCATAATAAAAATAATTCTTATTAAAATAATAATAATAATAATAATAATAATAATAAACTACAACAATAATAATAATTGTTATTATTATTATTATTATCATTATTATTATTTTGAATTTCTTTACCCTGTCAAAATTGAAATTCAAGCCTCCCTAGACATGGACCTCCACCACTTTCCTATAATCCTTTGTTACAATATTCTCTGAAATTGAAAATAAAAATCTTCCCAAAACATTAATACTGGACAAATTTAACTCACCTTTTCTTGGGCTCGCTGGACTTTTTTGTACTCTGCCGATAGCTTGTGATTTTCATCAACAGCTTTCTCCCTTGCAACCTTGCCAGCTTTCATGAATTTAGCCAAGTTAAAGCGCGTGTTCTTTGTGTGCGGCATCCTAGAAATTAACTCATAAAAAACTAAGGAAAGAAGGCAAAATTAGGAAAACAAAAATCGTAGAGCTTTTGTCAAGGCTTTGAAGTTTCGGTTCGTAGCACAAATTCTCGGATAAGTAGAGAAACTTAAAAAACTATCCTAGCCAAAAATACGATAGAAACGACAAATAAACCTTACCTTTTCTTTTACTATTTCCTCTATTGTCTCTTGCTAAGCGAACATCGAAGAAACTATGGTATATTTAGTATCAAAATGACGGGAAAACTGTGTACTTTCAGCACATTCGAGTTTTGGCGCCTTCGGACTAACTCCAGGACCGCTCGGAGGCAGTTTTCAACAGGCGTTAACTCAGTTCCAGGCTTCTCTAAAAACCACACGGTCACAAACGCCATATTTGTGGACGCTGATTGTTCCGCTTCAGAGTGCTCACCAGCCCGGCGTGTCCCACTCTGCTAGACATGAATGGTTTATATCTTCTGGCTGTACTACGTAGCCACGCCAGCACTATGGCACTATCCGTACATAGGAAAGTCTCTTCAAACTGGAAACAACACTCTTCCTTTATTGAGACTTGTAATCTGGAAGCCAACACTGCCGCTTGTAGTTCCAGCTGTGGGATTGTGAGCTCTTTAAGAGGGGCCACTCTCGACTTGGCAGCGACAAGGGATGGCGCAGTGGTGAGAGCACTCGCCTTCCACCAATGTGGCCCGGGTTCGATTCCCGGACTCGACGTCATATGTGGGTTGAGTTTGTTGTTGGTTCTCTTCTCTGCTCTGAGAGGTTTTTCTCCGGGTACTCCGGTTTTCCCCTCTCCGCAAAAACCAACATTTCTAAATTCCAATTCGATCCGGAATGCTCGAAAGCTTAATACATGAGCCCGGGGCTCGGAAGATTGGGCAACCACTCCTCACGCTATCGAGCTTAAATAAAAATTGATTAATTAATTAATTAAATCTCACATCATGCTCTTCGTTTATAGTCATCCATCTGATATATGCGCATGCACCAAGATCTCCGTGGGATGCGTCCGCGAAAATACAGACAGTTGGCCGATGCTCTGCTGGCTGGTGAGGGGATAAGCTTCCCTGGAAGGAGACCTTGTTTAACTCTTTCATTTCCCTGTAAAGGGCGATCCATTTTTGTTGTACTGCTGAAGGAAGGTCTTCGTCCCATTCAGATCCTTGTCGCCACAACTCTTGTAAGCCAATCTTCGCTGGTATCAGAAAGGCTCACGCGAATCCAGTGGGGTCAAAAATTCGCTCGACTTGACTGAGGATGCTTCTCTTTGTCAGCTTGGTTGAGTTCAAACCTTCGATGGCTTCATTCTTCACTTTAAACTTGAATGAGTCTTCAGTAATGTTCCAGACAACACCTAGTACTTTGTCTTCAACTGAACCAGTGAGAACATTGACTTCTCCACCTTCCTGGTCGCGGTTATTACTCAGACCTTTGTTTGACTGCCATGCTTTAACTTTAAAGCCACCTTTCTCCAGTACATTGTCAATTCCGGTCGTCAGCTCTTGAGCCTGTTGTACAGTGTGAATGGAATCCAGTATATCGTCCATGTAACTGTTGTTCTTCAATGTTTTCGCTGCGTGAGGGCCCAGGCTTTCTCCTTCTGCCGTTTTTCTCAACGCTATTTGTGCCATGGCGGAAGCCGGCTTGTCTCTGAATGTCAGTACGGTCTTCACATAGGTGTGCGGCTCTCAATCTGTCTTCATTTCCCTCCACAGAAAACGATGTACATGCTGATCTTCTAATGGTGTTAGGATTCTGTGGTACATCTTGGAAATATCTCCACTGATAGCTACTTGGTTTTCTCTACTACTGCAAAGAGACCATTGTGCAGATCCGGGCATTTCAACCAATAGTCGTTCAGTCTGTGGCCTTGATGAACAGAAGACGAATTGAATACAGGTGTACTTTTCTTGTCAGGTCATAAGATTTCATGATGCGCAATGTAATGGACTGGTCCTTTGTGCTTGAAAATTTCATTTGCTCCATCTCCTGTATTCTCTGGATTTTTTTGTAATCAGCGTTCAGTTGCTTCCAATTTCTTGATCGCTCGAGACCTGTTGTTGGGCAGAAGCTTTGGGTCTGCTTTCCACGGGTATGCAATCACCCATTGATTTCCCATTTTCTTGCACGAGCTCTGAATTATTCTTGTTTCTTCTCGCTCTAACTGAGTTAACTTGTCTGCTGAACAAATACATGGCTTCACGGCTACTCCCATGGCTTCCGTGGTCCAAAAATTGCAGAGGTCAACTGGATTGCTGTAACTGACCAGAAGGACACTACTGGCCTGCTGAATCCTTCCTGACATGGCTCCTAAGACTACCCATCCGAGAGGTGAGTTTCTGGTTACAAGATGTCCCGATTGCTTCGTCTCATTTAAGTGTGCAGGCGTGCATGGTCTATTCCAATAAGAAGATCTACTGGTCCGGTACCCCGGTGAATCTTTTCCCCTGTCAGTCGTGCAAGTTCTGTAACATCTGTTCTTGTGACTGCCGCTACATCATCACTGATTCGCGGATTTCCAACGGCCTTTATGAGGAAACCTCTTTTGTTGTTTGGTGACCTTACTTGCACTTTGAACTCCTTTGTCTTCATTTCTTGCTCTTCACCACCAACTTTCGTTATCGTAATGGAAACATTCTTCCCTTCCAAACAAGGCTCTCTGCGGCTTCCATACGGATCAAGCTAATCTGCGCTCCTGAGTAGAGAAGTATATTTCCACACTTGTAAAGTCCTCCTTATCCACTGATGTCTGCAGTGATAACAGGGAGCAGGGCATCCTGATTGTCGGTAACTAAAGATATGCTCACCCGTAGGTCTGTGCTCTTATGTAACAACTGACGATGGTACCACGAGCATTGAACGCCGTTCTCCTTTTCTGTACATTGTTTTCTTCGACCACGGTTTGAAATCCTATGATCCCTTCCCACTCGTTTGAGGCAGCTAAAACAGGTGTGGTTGTCCTTCACAGCTTTGAGGCGGTCGTCGGCATTTAGGGCTGCGAATTTCTGACATTGATCTGGCTAATGAGTCAAACTCTTCCACAACCAACACTTGCTATGGAGAGCTTTATTCCTGTCATCATTTACTTTGTTTACGTTGTGGACTGGAAAGGATCCATTGCTAGGCGCGGTTGTTTGCATGCGGGACTTCATTTCTACAGTCATCCATGTCATCAGCTGGTTAGGCGTAGCGGGCTGTTTTGTCTTCTCCAGATCACGTGACCATTCGTTTCTGTCATCAGCACACATCTTTTGTTCGATTAAAGAAAACATATGGCTGTTATCCAAATCACTTGGCAGTCCGATCTCTTTCAGCGTGTTGTAGCAGTGCTTTACTAGGTGAACCAAGTCACAAAATCGGGCATCTTCACCATCGCGGAGTGATGTAAATTTGACGACATCTTGCATGACTGTGTGCGAGACGAATCTTGCGTCACCATATATCGGGTCTAGATACTCCCATGCTGTGTCGTAATCTGACCCGATTCCTTTAATCAAATCCAGTGGCTTACCTTGAAGACACGTGCGGAGAAACGTGATTGCGTCCCGTTTACTGTATCGTGATTCAATGGTGTGTTTAAAATCGGCCCTGAAAATCGCGTACTCCACATCTCCATAGAACTTTGGCATTTTCGGCTTTTCCATTTTAAAAGCACATGCTCCACTTGGAATAGCGTCATCATTTCCACCGTTTTCAATAATCGAACCATTGTTTGGGGAGGTGTTAATGCTGTTTTGTCCACTCAACTGCATTCCGGACATACCACTGTGGTTGAGGGACTCGCCATTGCCCTCGTGTGCAGACATAACTGAGTTACTATTTCAAACTACATCAACACTTTCATTACTTTTCTTTCCTGTGGCTATGCATTGATCAATATACTCCTTTGCATGAAATTTCTAATCTAATAAACATCTCTAGGGACTCTTCAAGCCATCCTTCTTCCTTTGCAAATTCCTCATCAGTTCGATCAGCTGAGCAACATCTTCATGCTTCATGACGAGCTTTTCATAGGCCTCTTGCAGTTTAACAAATGATTCTCTAACCTCGGGTGCTGGACGCTTACTTTCTATTATGCTGCTAAGCGATTTTCCAGCCCTTGTCAGTGAAACTTTGGCAGCACGGCGAGTGACCTTTGCCTTTGGTAATTCTGCCATGATGTCGAACTCCTCGGGACCTCAGGTTAGCCAAGAAATCCAATGAAATGCACCGTTGGACAATAATACAGATGTTAACGCCGGGAAACCATCAATCGTATAATCAACAACACAAGTTTATTTGGAGGAATTATTTGAATGTTTTGGAATTATATTACTAGTTGTATGTCTCAGATCGAATAATTCCTCCAAATAAACTTGTGTTGTTGATTATACGATTGATGGTTTCCCAGTGTTAACATCCGTATTGTGTCGATTGTCCAACGGTCCACCGTTGTCACTGAGGAATGGCTTACAAGTTTTGATGAAAACTCGAGTGTTTCTTTTCAGACCTGCCGATTTTGTCCTCCAATACTCCTTGATTACTAATCTTTGTTTCTGCATATCTGTTTGTACTCACAGTTCGGAGCTTTTTTGCTTTGTCCGTACTTTGCCTCAGCTTTCCATTTTGTTCGTATGGCGTTTTTCCACTTTGTTGTCATGTACGGGACGTTATGGTCCCTTACCCCCATTGTTTTAACAAGCGCGTGCTTGCCAACATTGTTTTTCATCAATGTGTTCCAGTGAAAGAATTGGTCTTCTACGTCCTTGAAAATTCCGCTAATGTGCCAGGGAGTTAGAGATAACTCTTGATTACAGAAAGTATCTTGGGCTTGTTTGATTTTATCCTATGCCGAAAATGAGAGCGTGATCACTTAAAGCCGGGTAGTAGTTGCTGCTCTGCTTGAATAATTCAGGCTTAGGCCTATTTGTCAACAAAACATCAATGAGACTGTGGCTTGTAATTGTTCCACAACATTGCACATTGGTAGGTTTTGAGATTAGGCATGTAAAACCCCATTCAACTTCGAGATCCAATAGCAATTTGCCCTCACGCTTGTCCGATCTTAATCTGTCCAGGTTCAGATCACCAATTATCTCGACAGAGTTACTTTTGAGACTAGCCCAATTACATACCTGACTAAGCTCATTCTCAAG